CAAAACTAGATTTGAAACCTTTTGATTTGCATATTTGTTCAGGAACCCGAGGACAATAAGCCCCGATGCAATGGCAGTCGAAGCTATGCAAAAGATGGAGTCCCCTCCATCACCCGTTCAATTCTTGCCCGTCATTAATGACCAAAATACCCTCATTGGCATCGTTACCTTGCATGGCTTGGTTTCTGCTGGTTTGTGATCTTCTCTTTTGGTTCTCGATCCATAGTCAGTCCTTTTACTTGGGTTTTTTTAACTTTCATAATAATAACAATTCTTTGTATTCTTTCCCGATAAAAGTAGTGAAGACGTATACTGTTTTCTATGACCCACATATTGTATAAGCGAATAGTGTGGGGTCCAGCCACATGCAATCAAAAGAATCAAGTCACAAACTTACAAAACTAATAGTTGGCAGAACAACTTTGCCCACATGGAGGAAAGCAATTATTGAAATGAAAAAGCAAGGAAAGAGTTGGGGCATTAATTTTTTATCAGTTCACATTTAACATTTCCTCCTATAAATAGAGGAGTCTTCAGCTGATGAAGAATGCACCAAGCGAGAAGAAAAAAAGAGAGAACAGGAGAGTACAGAAATAATATTTCTGTGTGTGTTATTTTTCAGTGAGATAAAAATAGAGTGTTTGAGTAAATCCTGTGGGTGTGAGAAAAATACACCGGGTTGGGTATCAACTCTATTACTTCTTGTTTAGGAGTGGGGTTTCACTGGGTCACTATATTTTACATTTCTTGTGTAGGGGAGTGTGAAAAGATATTGTAATTATCTTGAAAATATAGTGGAATTATTCGGAGGTTGTCCCATGGTTTTTTCCTCTATTTGGAGGTTTTTCCACGTTAAATCTTGGTGTCTTATTTCTTGCATATTTTATTTATTTGGGATATTCTTAGTATGCTCTGTGGTCGCAGTTTAATCTGAACTTCCACATCAAAAAAGAATTATTCCGGTGTTATTGCAAGAGATTTTCTTTTGTCATTCTTGAGTTGCTGAGATTGAGATTATTGTTTACGATTTTACCTTGATATTTTAATTTACATCTTCCGCATTGCGCATCTGAGCCCAACAAGTGGTATCAGATCCAGGTTGGGCTCTGTATCGACCCGTGTAAATTAAATGGAGGAGAACGTGGGTACCATGGTGAAGCTCACAACAACAAATTACTCCATTTGGAAGCCAAAAATGGAGGACATACTTTTCTACAAAGATCTATACGATCTTGTAGAAAAGGGAGACAACAAGCCAGATGATGTGAAGGATGACGATTGGAAAAAGTTACATAGAAAGGCTGTCTGATATAGCACGTATATATAATGGGATAAACCGGGGGTTCGGCCTTTATAGGCCTTCGAATGGCTCAGCCTTTTGTGGGCTCGGTCTTAGTTGGTTCTGCTTGAGGCTCGGCCCAAAGGGGCGTAATAATGGCCCAGCTGCAGATCTTTCAGTGGTTCGGATTTAAATGGGCTTGGCCTAGCACATTCGTATCCGTGGAGCTTAAAGAGGGGATGTGGGAGTTGTTTGACGACCCATTATGGAACAAAGTGGCTGTAAGGGGCAGTGTGTGAGGGACACGTGTAGTGTCGGGATGAGATGGGGCTGGATCATCTAATGGGCAAGGACCGAAACGTGGGAAAGAAGTAAGGTCAATACTTATAAATAGGTAAGGCTGGGTGGTAGGTAAAGAACACACTGGATAAACCCTAACCCTACTTATAGTTACGTACGATTCTCTTATACTCTTCTATTCCTTACTGACTTGAGCGTCGGAGAGTTACCGCCGGGAGCACCTCCCGGCGTCATTGCAGGTCTTCGAGAGCTTGAACCGGACGAGGAACGGAAGGGAATCGGGTTGAGGTGTGGAAGTGTTATCAATTGGCGCCGTCTGTGGGACTTTACTATTTTATCTTACCGATTGAGGATGACGAACACGATCGCGGATGACCAATCAAGGAGGAATTTGGACGATACTTTGGAAGAGGCATGGGTAGCAAGGACACCCTATGGTGGAGGGCCGCCAAAAGGATGGGTTGCTGGGGAGAGCTCGATCACTACTCCCCTTGTTCCCCCTTTGGATCAGGAGAAGGGATCGGCGACCCAGGGAGCAGGCCAGGAGATAGTAATACGGGCATCGGTGCCAGAAGTGGTACTGGAAGGTGGAGGACCGGTGATGCAGATGACCAGAGAAGAATTGGATCGCATCGTCGCGGAGGCGGTAGGTCGGGCGTTGGTTGCACGAGACGCGGCGATGAAGGAGAAGCATACCACCATGATAGAAAAGCCGGCCTTGGAGGCGGAACGGTCCGTTGAGGTTGTGGAACGACCTATTGTGGCTACGGAACGACCAGTGGTTAGGGTCGAGCAGCATGTCCCCGGGATGTCTAAGCCTTTAAG